AAATCCCCCATGGCAATGAATCCTGGAGGCTGCTTTAGTGCCATCCAAAAAAGCACAGCTACCTTACACAACACTGCATTGCATTCCCAAGCAAGTTTGCTCCCATCTCCAGAGGGTCAGGCTTTATACTCTACATAGTACAATACCAGAAAACACACTGCCCCTGCTCAGCTACTCTCAGTCCTACTAGGAAAGGATCTCCAAGGCAGCTACCTTGCTGGAAACCAGGCATTGGGCCTCACAAGTGTTGGACAAGCTTAGGCACAAAGAAAGAGATCTCAGAAATGGCCACACTGCCCATAGCAATGAGCTGCCAAAGCCTTGGTACAGCACAGCAGCTGAGTCACCTTTCCATGACACCCTGCAAGAAGCCAGCTCTTGGGCCAGCCCTCTTCCATAGGTCAGACCAGTTGGCCCCTACGTTTTGGACAAAAAGTGTCACATTTGATTGTTCCTCACCTCAAACTGTTACAAATCCTCTTACAGCCCAGGCTGATCTACAGCAAACCAGGGCCAGCCAAGGACTGCTAGAGCTCTTGAGATACTGGTTTGGTTTTAACTGGGAGTTGCCACATTTGTGCAGGAGGCCAGAACCCACAATACCAGTTGGAAAAGCAGCACCACATCTCCAGCAGTAAGTGGTCAGTGTTTGCACGACTGACCTCAAATTCCCCCAAGCACTCAGGTTATTTGGTGACTATGTTTATAAAGAGACAAGTTTCAGTTCGGTGTGTCCAACATGCTGCTGTGCAGCTGGTGTATAAACCACTCCCAACACAAGGCCCAAGTCCTGTCAGGGATGTGCATACACCATCATTACTATTTCCTCAGGCTGGCTGCTCCCTTCCAGTCCATGCCACAAGAATGATGCTCAATCTCATTCCTCTGACAGTGCTCAGCAGCCAGTTCCTACCAGGGAAAGTGCCTCTGACGAGTTGGACAGGATTGATCCCACCCAGCCCATGTAATTCTTGAGCAGCACATTCAGTGCCCCAGACCTTCAAATCAGTCTGGCCGGATGGATGTTGTTGTTACAAGCCAGCTTTTCCCCTGTGTGCTTCCATAGAAGCACTTCCAAATAAGTGCTTTGGAAATTGTCTTCTGCACTGCTTTTCTAACAACACTCACCTTATCTCCTTCCTCAATATCACAAATCTTCTCCAGCGTTGAAGGGTTGTAGGTGGGGAACTTCTTTCCACTTGTAGACTCGTGCCATTCATTGTTAATAAATATCTGAAGAGAGAGAGCAAGGGAAGTGGGATGGGCAGGAGAAAGAAAACACTGATGTAGACAAAAAAAAACCCCATAAGTGCTTTTCAAAGGCCCCAAAGCTCTCCGATTTCCATTGGTGGCGAGTCAAGTGCGCTCAGTCTCTCTGCCAGGGAGATTGTAATACAGAAGCATTTATCCAAACTTTGTGCACCCAGTTGGTTTTGAGCAAGAGGAAGGCAGAGGATGGGGCTCACACAACACACCATCATGATCTGGCAATGAGAAACAGGTGGGTTTTGAAATACATCTCCATGGGAACACCAAGCAGACACCAAGAGAAGCTTGCATGGTTCAAGCAAAAGGAGCCCCTTGTTCCATGTCAGTGCACAATATTCTTTGGTCGTTTGTATCCTCCCTGAGCTACTTCCACATCTTGCTCCCCCCTCTGGCAGCACCCAGAGGAGGGTGGGGACTGGCTCAGTTCTACCCCACCATGCCCTGTCACAGGCTGGATCAAGCCTCCCACGTCACTTGGAGTCATCTGTGACAAGATTTAAGTGTTTCAAAATATTGCATTTCCAGAGCAAGAACAAACAGTCCCAGCGTTGCGTAACTGAAAATGCATTAAATACTGGAGTGTTGTTACTCACTGTAAACAGAACATGAATACCTATATACAATTAATTGATTCAACATGCATCTTATCCACGCTGTGATCTAACTTGGCAGTGTTATATTTTATAAATATACTTCAAGTAAGATTAGATGAAGTAATCTTTATTAGTAGCCTGCTAGTGGCTGTAAGCTAGTACTTTTTTTTGGAAGTCATCCACATTTGCAATCTTGTTTATGAGTCTCTACACACCACCAGGAGATTAATGTTGCATCTCTTACATTCGGAATTCCCACTGCTTTGGGTCATAATTTTCTTTCCTTGGGCAGTTTTTTCTTCCTGAAAGGGCTTTTTTCTTACTATTTCTTCACAAAGCACACAAAATGTAACTGGTGTAGAAGCTGCACAGTTGGACCCACCTGTTTCACACAGGCCAAGAAAAAGACCATTTTGCCAAAGACGTTGCCAAGGGAAGTCACAAGAAAAGATACAGTGTTAGAAATATTAACTCCAGTTTAAGACACCAATGCTCCTGAACTACCTTTGTTATCCAAGTGCTCCATTTTAACATTCACACATTTTAAATTCAGTTTTTCTTCGTTTCACTAATGAAGAAGAGTCACATTATAAATACGAGAAATATGACAGGAACTGTAAAATTAAAGCATCGGGTATATGCTCATAAACTGAGGATTGAGGAAGGACACTGTCTTTCCTTCGCATTCAACATGAATTCTGTGGGAAAATGATGTTCCTACAAGTAGTAAAACACGAGAGTGACAGGATCAGACTGTTTTAAATGTAACATATACACTGGCATCATTCTGGGAATTGCACCACATATCCTGAGTCTTTGGTGCCAGGAGTTGAAATCAAATCGAATAATTTATCATCTGTTCATGCTGCATACCCAGGATTTGAGACAAGGAACTGTGGACAGATCACTTCCATCACACATCCATGACAAGCACTAAGCTGCTTTATAAGAAAGATCTTTGTTGAAAATTTTTTCCTCTCCCCCAACCCCGTAACTGGTAGAACCAAAAATAAAAAATCTCCTCTAAGCAGAGGAAAACATGCTGTCAGCTGTAAACATCTGGTGAAACTCAGAGCTTGTACAAAACCCCTCGAAGTTTTATGAAAATTGACTGCTGCTCATTATTTACTCAGATGCACCAGCAGCATCAGATCAAACATCAAACTCCCACTTTTAATTTACATTGGTTTCCACTTTTAAGAGACTACCTTGTTACTTCCAGCACACAGAGTCTCTGGTAAAACTCTGGAGAACAAAACTGCATGTATTAAAACTTACACGGCTGCAGGATAAGATCCCTAAGGAGTGTTTAAAAGTGTTCACAACAATAAAAATAACAAAAACCAGAACATTTGGATGTTTAAGAAGAACTCGAATGGCCGTGTCCATTTTGGACGCGGGAAAGAGCTGTTTGTGCAGCACTACGCCATTCTGCAATCAGCAGCTGCAGATCCAATTTGCTGCTAAATGACAAGTTTATCTCACAAATAAAGGGCAGATAAACTTGGGATGTTAAAAATTAATCTAGTCCAGTGATTACTACTAATTGCTAATCTGTTTCACTACTTCGGATGCATAATTCAAATCAACACCTTGTCGGACAAGCTATTGCTGTTTACTTCTTCTTACTGCAAGGGAATAATCTTTGAATTCTTCTTTTTTTTTTTTTTTTTTTAAATACTTAACACAAAAATGCAACAGTAACACACTAATTCAGCCCCTCCAGTTCTTTTAGTCCAGCCACAAACTTGAAATTACGGCAGTTGAGGCTCCTCAGCAGCATAACCAGCCGGGACATTTTCCTCACTGCGCAAGGCAGAGGGTCAGGCTGTTGTGGAACAAAAAGCGACCCAGCGATCGCAGAGCTACAGTTGTGCTGAGAGCAGGGATTTCTGCAGCCCTGCTCAGCTCCACGCCAGCCTCACCTCTGAGGGATGGAGTTATCGAGCTCAGGAGCCTTTGGTTTAATCCAAAAGGTCAGGAGCAACCGTTTAAAGGGAAGCTCAATGAAGAGTGGAGAGGTGAGGGTTTGTGTGGGCTCGATGCCTGACTCCTCATCCCACAGAGAGGCCATAGAGGAGCTCTGTTGGGACAGAGAGAGCCACCAACAAGACTCACATGAACACCACTTCTAGAGCTGCAGGATGGCTCCAGTCTCATGGCAAAGCTCTTCCATAAGGCCCAGTCTGCTGGACACTGGTCCTTCTCGAGGCTTGCCAGAACCCAAATCCACCCCTGGCACTGAGCCCCCTCCCAGCAGAGGAGCTGCAGACCGGGTCAAGGACAGTTGAACACAACTCCAAAAAGCAGCTTCCTGAGGGATAAAACCCCCTTCTCACCCTGCCCGGGCTCACCCCATCCAAATCGGATTTCACTGAGCACCACTGCAGGGCTGGAGGCGTTCAAAAGTGGGTTGGGATGGAAGATGGTGTCAGGCACCACAGGAGCACAGAGCACCTGGGGCAGGACAACAGCTTCAGCGGGGCCATTTTATTTAAAAAAAAAAAAAAAAAAAAAAAAAAAAAAGTTAGTTTTTGGGCTTTAGGGATTGGGGCAACAGCTGCTCCATTGGAAATGCCACTGTCACCTGCTCGTTCAACCTCAAATCCCCATAAACCTACTGTCTCAGGCACCAGGAAGAACAAAAGAATTTAAGAGAAACAACACCGAGGGTGAAAACTCTGTATTAAAAACCTAACACCTCGCCGCCACCGGGACTCCACCAAGCCCCGGCCCCGCCGCCCACCTCCCCACGGCTGGCGAGCGGGCTCACCTTGGTGTACTTCACCTCCAGGCTGCGCAGGGGCCGCGGCAGCGGCGGCGGCACTTTCCTGTCGGGCTGCCCGTTCTCCACGGCGCCGTTGAGGGCGGCCATGGCCGCGCCGTCGAGCCCGCGCGCCGTCTGCCCGCTGACAGTGCCCGCGCCGCCTTAAGAGCGCCGCGTGCACCGCCCGCCCGCCCCCCATTGGCCACCGCCCCCGCCCCGCGCCCCGCCCCGCCCCGGCCCCTCGCGCGGCCGCAGGTGACGGGCGGCGCCGCCCCGCCGAGGCAGCGCGGCCGCCGCGCGGGGAACGGGGGCGCCCGCGCGCCGCGCGCGCGACAGCGGGAACCCCTCAGGGCTGTCAAAGGGCTCCCCTCAGGGTCCGTCACGGTTGTCAAAGGGCTTCCAAAGGGCTCCCCTTTGCTCCCCTCAGGGTCCCAAAGGGCTCCCTCGAGACTTCCAAAGGGCTCCCCTCAGCGTTTCCACAGGGTCCCAAAGGGCTCCCCAAAGGGCTTCCACAGGGCTTCCCTCAGTCCCAAAGGGTTTCCCAAACGGCTTCCCACAGGGTCCTTTGCAGCTCCCCAAAAGGTTTCCAAAGAGTTTCCGAAGGGTCTGCAAGGGCTCCCCAGAGGGCTCCCCAGAGGGCTTCTGCAGGGCTCTGACATTGCTCCCTCGGGGCTCTCCACAGGATCTCTTGGGGCTCCCACAGGGCTCCTTTTGGGGAGCAGAGCAGCCACCATGGCTTCTCCTAAGGTGTGGCAGCGGGATGGTTCTGGGGAGGAAGGGCCCTCTCTGCTGCCTTTGCATCCCACTCAAATGCACCCAGAAGTCAGTCACGGGAGGACCGTTGTAGGGTCTCCATGGGAATACCACCACCCTCCCCAGGCACGGTGTTGGACTGTCCAGACAGTTCTCCCCTAAGTTGTCATGTTACACCCTCTACCTCCAGAACAAGGGCCTTTCTCTGCTCTTCCTGGTGCCCTGACATCCTCACCCCAACCTGCTACACCCCATCCTTCACACAGAGCCTCTGGAGAGGTTCCCAGGACTGATAAGTAAGAGAAGAACATTACATCAAATGTCTGACGTGCAACGTCTGACAGCATCCTGCGTGTGTACAGGAGTCTGGGACCAGTTTGACCACCCCAGTCTGACTATCCCATTTGAAGGACTTCAGCCCGCCAGGGCAGGACCAGGCCCTTCCACAGAAATGTCTTACACTGATAACCAACGTATTTGTGTCCCACCCAGCCAATCTCCAGTGTGGTGTTCATAGTAGCATACTTGGAACGTCGAGAAAGATGCTGTCTTTCGAGAAGTCCTACAGGATATGGAACATGTCTGAAGTGACAGATCTAGGCTCTGCGCCTGAACAAGTTCATCATGTATTGCTTAACTTCATTCTGAATAAAATATGTGTCTCTGCAGGCTGGGGGCCAGGACACTAGGAGCACCCTTACACCCCCACACACATGGAAGATAATACAACATATTTTCCATATAACAAGTGGCAAGATGCCAGAAGTTATCTTACAAAATGTTTCACAGAATCGATAATCCCCAGCAATAGTCAGCACTTTGCTGTTAGAATACTCAAAAATACTCGGCGCTTCCAAAGGCAGATAGCCTGTGATATCACAGTGGCGTAGAGCTAGTGCTGATTCAGAAGGGAAAGTACCCTGCTGAATCAAACCCTGCTCCCTGCAGCGCGATGTCCTTGGAGGTCGCCTGCCCAGATTAAAACCTATCTGGTGATGATTGGTGCAGAAATGTTCCTTCCATTTTTAACTACTGCTATTTCTCACAAAAGCATCAAAGAATCCCTTAAACAAATACCAACATGTTCCTAGTCCCAATGAAGAGGAGTTTGGATTCAAGCTATGCTTAGGTGTAATCTGTACGAGGTGACTGAGAGGATGTGCAAGTCGAAGTCTGAGATAGAAAATATTTCTTTCTGTTATCTCTGGAAAAGATGTGGCCACTGATCCATTTGAGGGCTTATGACAGTTACCAGATTGGCAACAGAACTTCTTTGGGCCTCTAGTAACTCACCATTTCCATTTTTACCAGAATGTATCACAACCCTATAGGCAACAATTTGATAGTTCAAAGGAGCAAATCATTACAGAGGTGACACATTATTATAGAATTTATCCATTTCTATCTGTATTTTGCCTACAGAAACCCTCAGCTGAAGTGGAAAATACTCTTGCAATTAGAAGACAAAATATCTGGATGAGGAGAAGGATGAATAAGAAGTTCCGGGACAAGCAGTGTCTAAAGAGTCATTCCAGTGGGCCGTCTCATGTGAAATGACCTTGTTTCTTATCTCTCATGAGGAAGATTTTATACAGGACTTTGCTGGGAAAACTATTGCTCCTTTGAGTCAATGTTGGTGCAGTATGAGATATATCTAAGGCAGAAATTCCATATACAGGGTTTGGGGATGTGTAAGACCTTTAAAAGGTTGCCCGAAGCTAACGAATGGTGAGTCAGTGACATATGAAAGAGCTGAAATAATAAACTTTAACTGATATATGTAGCGTATGCAGTGCTTCCACTAGTAGTGTCACAAGGAGAGTAGTGAAATTTTTCATTGTCAAAGAGTTTTGTGGACACTGACTGGTCTCTTGTTAGGCAAACTCAATCCTGTCATAAACGGGAACTCCACCAACTCCAGGAAAGATGTGTCTTTTGTCACTGGTGCTTATACCAGGTCCACAGAGGTGGAAATACTCACATCTCCAGACTGCTGAGTGGGAGATGCCCTAAAAGCAACAATAGAGCCCTGATAAGAACGAATGCAAGACATTTCACATTCATTCCCGTGCTCCTGGAGGGCCATGCCACCACTCAGATAGAAGCACTGAAAAAATGGGATTTACCTGAATTTGCAGCAGTTGATAAATGTGTCAGAAACAAGAGGAAAAGCATCTGCTGATGAAAGGTCACATTACTACTGAGTCACCCTGTTGTGTTCTCCTGTTGCAGAGATCTCTGCAGTATGTGTCCTTAACCTGCTGAAGGGATGGTGATGGCTGTGAACTCCTTGGAGCTGTGCTGCTCTGCAGAGCTGTATCTCACATAAGTTCCTAAACTGAGTAGACAGGGTGTCCTCTTCTATCCAGAAAAAAGATTGCCTTCCCTCTGTTGGATCAGACACATACACTCCTAAATCTGATGCCATTAATGAGACCTGACCACGGTTCCCTGTGCTGGTCTGTCTCTCTGTGCCAAGGGCAATTACAGGACGTGTTCTTGCATCTGAGAGTGACTCTACAAGCTGATCAGTTGACAATTCAATGATTTTTTTGCATCTAGACCTCAGCCTGTGCTTCCAGTTGACCAGCAGTCCCTTTGCTGTGTAGAGCAGTTAACCTGGCACAGAGCCAAAGCTTATCCCGCTTATTTTCCATATAGCCCGAAGCCCATGCACACACAAACATAAATACGTGTGTGAAACAATATACTCTGAAAGGCTACTGAGGCTGTGCACTCCAGCATTCAACAGCCTGCAGTGTCCAGAGTTTGCCTGGTTTTCCTCATCCAGATGAACTGTAATTGAGTTATCCACACCCTTTTCCTACAGGCATCCCCTCACTCCACATTGGCAATGGTTGCTGCTCCTGAGGGAGCAGCTCCCCCCATGATTTATTCTCCTCTTGTTTAACGTGCAGCGATGGGGCTTTTTACTGCCTGTTATTCAAATTGGGCTTTGGGCACAAAATTATTCATTTCCGTGTGGTTTTTCCACGGTGCTCATGACAGCAGTGTCTGAGTGTTTCACATGCACCATTTCCTTTTCCAGCAATTCTGAGAGGATGCTGACCCTGTATTATCAGTGAGGAAAGAAGACAGGCAGCGATGAATTAAAGAAAGGGTCTTCATAATTCTGGATTCTCCATGTGAGTCACCTACAGCCCGAGAACTGTGATGACAGACACACAGAGCTCAGCTCAGCTCCAGCAGTCACTGTACAACAAACAAACTGGATCTAAAGATCTCCCACCTAAACACCCAGGCAAGGCAGAGCACGCAGGTGAGTGGGCATTGCTCTCCAGCGACTTTAATCTGAGAATTCTCTTAATTTTTGTAAACCTAATATTCCTGTAACTTTTTTTTCTGTGGGCAGTTTTCTTGGGTTTGAGTTCCTTTTTCTCAGCAAACTTAAAATTCATAAATTTCATCACTGTTGAGCAAATTTTCCACGATATGGGTTGGCGGCAGAATGGATCGGTTTCAATTGTGATATGACTGGCATTTTATGGACTCCCTGGTAGCAGTAGTGACTGTTTAATTGATATGTAAAGGCAGTGAGATGTGCTTTGCCAGTGCATTTTGATTTGCTTTGTTTTCCCAAATATTTTCTGGCTGCAAAATAGTGATAACTGAAGTGCTGCCTTCAGTTGTGAAAGACATCACACCAAATTCTATACCAAGACAAGTCTATGCAGTTTATCAAAGTATACACGTGCAATTCAAAAGGATTTGAATTCAGAGAGGTGTCATAAAAAATAAAAATCAAAATCAAAATTAAAAAAATCAGACTGTTCAGACGATACTTTGCAATTTGTATGTATTACATGAGGAGTTTTTTTGAGTTAACCCAACCTTACTTGGGCTATTCTGATGCCTACAATCCCTCCCCATTGGTAGTAGTGGAGGAGGGTTGTAGGCATTGGATATATATTGGAATTTGAAGCAGCCTTACCCTGTGAACTCAGCACTCTCCAGGTATTTGTATCACCCTTCTTGTGCCCTGCGGGTTAAAGCTTCCATTTTAACACATCTGAGGCTAAAGAAGACTTTCTTTCCCTGTTCCTCTCCACCTCCACAAATCCTGTCAATAAAGGTGAGGAAAAGTGATGTGAGACTCTGTGAGATGCGATTTGTGCAAACATTTGTAATCCTAAACATGACCTCATGATGCAAACCAGGACTTTGGCGGCTCAAGAGAAAACACAGCCTTTTTATGTATTGCACTGTAATTACTTCATGAAGCAAAATCCTCAGTCAAATTAATTTTCTTCATGCATATCATAGGTATTAAACTGTGGCTGTGCACAAGGACTGGCTTTTCCTTTAGCTTGCCTGGCTCCAAAAGTAAATTGGAAAAGTAAGTGGCAGGGAAATAACAAACAGCTGAACGATTTGAAGCCTTTTCTATTAAAACAACGTCTATTTCCTCTCACCTTCACTTCTCCCTGCCAGGCCAAGCATTGGAAGATGAGGAGAGTGAGAGCAGGAACAGAAGCAAGTGCATGATAACCTACTAAGATAGTGTCTGTGCTGTGAAGTTCAAGGGCCCGTTTCCTTACAAACCACTCAGTGTGTCTGGCACCACGGAACTGATGGGAACCACTCCCTGCATTGATCCAGCCATGCAGACCTGAGGATTATTTGCCTACAAACAGCTATTGTTTGCAGGATTGAAAAACTAAAAAAAAAAAAACAAATATGTTTGTTTTCTCCACAGATCATGTTGCTTCCCACTTTCTCCAGATAAGACACATCTGGGGCCCGTGCCCAGGTTTCCAAAGCCGCGGTTGTCCAGGCAGGAATAGAGGAGCCTAAAATGTGCTTTCTTCTCCTGCTTCTTCCTCAGTGTCTCTTTGCTCTCACTCATCCTCGCATCTGTTCTGGGCCCAGTGCCCAACAGTTCTGCATTAACGCCTCAGTACACACAGGCTCGCACAGCTGAACAGTTTGCAATGCAACGTACCCGGTGCCGTCACGTCTTCCCGAATCAAGCTCCTGCAAACAATTTTTGTTTACGGGAAGAAGCACTTGCCTTCATAATGCTACTTGTGAGCTGTGCCCAGCTGACTCGAGCCATTCCAGGTCTTCCCAGAGAAATGGTTTTGCAGAGCACAGTCACGAATCTAGGAAACACAGAACAGAGCAGGTAAACAAACATCTTTAAAGATGATCCTGTCTCAGACCTTGATCCTGCAAACCCGCACGGGCTTAATGTTAAGCATATGAGCAGTCCCAGATGACTTCAGCAGAGCTACTCGCATTCTCACAGAGCAGAGTTTGCCAGATCAGAGTCTTTATGTCTAATTGCAAAATAAAAGGCAACTCTCCCAGTTCTATCAACTGTAATGAATTGCTATTAACAGCACAATTTAAAATAGCCGTGGGGCAGATCCCTGGCAGACCCACTGGGGATAAAGGGATGTGGACTTGTTGCAACAGAACCTGGAAATACTTTTTCTTGGACAAAGCCCTGTGCCAGTCATATGAAACACTAACACTGATGAGGTTGTTTTTGTAGGCTTCGACCTGTGCAAAGCTTTTTTTTGTGGTTATTCTCTGCACAGTTCCTCCCTTTTCTACCCTCTGGGTTGAATTCTGCTGTTTGAACCAGAAGCTGGAAGCTCTGCTTGGGGGTACTTTCTGTAAGGATTTGATGATGTTCCAACGTCCAAAGGTACCTTTACAAGTAAAAGTGGGAAAAAAACCAGACCACGGCCCCTGTCCACCAGGCTTTTGGCACCAGGTCAGCATCCACGACCCTGGGCTGCGCGCGGGGTCCCATCCGTGTCCCCTCGGGTGAGCACAATAGGCGACATTGTGTCCCGTCGCTTCCACTAACGGCGAGGCGGGGGGACAGGCGAATCTGGGGGCACAGAGAGCAAAACCCACCCATGCCTGTTAATGAAGGGCCAGCCCCGGGCCCTCATTAGGAGCCCGCCGGGCCGTGCCCCGGCCCCGCCGCCCGCCAGTGCCGGGGCCGAGCGCGGAGCGGCCGCCGCGCTCAGCGGGCGCGGAAGGTGGCGCGGCCCCTCCGGGCTGGCGTTTGCACCTGGGGCTGCCGCGGTTTAATGGACTTTAACACATGCAAACAAGAGCTTTTGTGTGCGGGCACAAAGGCTGCCCCGGCGCGGGGCTCTCCCCAACACTGCCGCATTGTTTCCCCTCCGCTGCTTCTTGTCACCCTCCTTGTCAGAGTTTAATGAGGACAACGAGGTTTCGCAGGCTCATTTCGCACTTCAGCAACTTTCTAACACTTCCCTAACGAGGGAGAAGGGGCCGGAGCGATCGGGGGCGCAGGGGAGGAGCCGCCCCGGCAGAGACCCGCAGCCCCGGGGTCGGGGCAGGTGCGCCCGGGATCGAGCCGGGATGCGGGACCGAGCCGGGATGCGGGGGCTCAGCCCCTTCCAGCCCATCTCCGGCATCTAGACGTGGCTCCATTTAAAAAAACCCGATTCGTCGAGTTTAAACTCGGCCGGGGGTGTCCCCGGGGTGCTCGGAGGAGCAGCGATGCTGCCGGGAAGGCGGTGGCCGCTGGCACCGCGGTGGCAGCGGCAGGGACCGGCCCCGTGGCTCGGAGCGAGGCGCTTCCCCGGAGCAGGAAGTTTTCCCGGGAGCAGGTAGCATTCCCCGGGCTCTCCGGGCCGGTGATCTGCAGTTTTCTCACCTCCCGCCGTCCCCGCCGAAGCCGAGCATCCCTCCCAGAGGCCAGGAGGGAGCGGGGTGGATGCTCGGCTCCTCTGCCCCCATCCCGGGGCAGTTTCTCCCCAGCCCGAGCGTGCGTTCTCCCGGCACCGCTCGGCGCGTTCCGCTGCTCCGGGGCAGGACGGGGGTTCGCGGGGACCGACGGGCGGGAGATGCCGAGCGGGGTCGGTAAAACCGCCCAAAGTCCGCATTTGCACCGTTCAAAGCCCTCGAGGTGCTGTAACCGCGCTGGGCTTTGGGGGGGTGTCTCCCCATCCACCCAACGCAGCCATCCCCCCTGGGAAGGCTTTATTTCCCCCTCTCCAGCCAGCCAGCGGTCCCAGGCAGACCGTAGCTGCGGTTTTCGATGGAGATTTCGGGGAGGATTTGCCTTTAGCCTTTGAAAATCCTCGCCTCTGCCTCCTGTTCCCACGACCGAAATCTCCCCTCCGCTTTTTTCCTTACTTCCCTCTCCTGTGCGTGTGAGAACTTTGGAAAGCTCGAGAAGTCGTTTAATGCAAAGGGATTTTAAAACACAGAAGTATGCGGTGAAAGAAAAAAAAAACAACACCACCCCAACCGCTTAATTAGATACTTACCGAAGGAGCCATTAGAGCCTGCTGGGTATAACACGGTTTATAAGTTCTCTGGCCACAAAGAAATTCAGTAATTACTATTTTTTCCTCCCTTACAATGGGATGGGTTAAGGACGGAGTGTGATAAACTTAACTCTGTTCCCGGGGTTTTTGCAGATTAGTCTTTGGCATTCGCTGGTAAATACCAAGTGAATAGAGACTGTGTGACCACAGTCCCTTGAATTAGGGACAAACATTTCCTCTGTGCATTTTAAATAATGCTACTGCCAAATATTTTGTTACCAGAGATCATTATCCTTTTGAATGAAAACTCGAGGAGTAAAGGCATTGGTTTTGTCTTTGCTGGTGTGGAACAGACTATATGATATCTAGAACAGCAACAAGCTTTCACAAATTGCTATATGATTTCTACTGCCAGGTTCTGTGATATTGGATACGACATAAAAATAAAAAAGCCGGGCAGATAGACACAGAAACTCACAGAAACCACCTGTATATTTTGTTTCAAAGGGAAATCTCAGCTATTGTCTTACTGGCTCTGGTTCTGTTAGGCCTTGGATCTGCTTAATCTTTAAAGCTATTCAAACAAATTGAATGATACAAGGCAAGTCTTCTATAATTAATCCGGATTCTTGAATTTTGATACAAACTTTTATGTAACCGAGAAGTTTCTCCCTTTTCCTTGCAAAGACACTAAATAGACACTAAGTCCTTCTGTCAAGAGCGCTACCACGAACAAAGTTAAAAGGAACAAACCTGGAATTTTTCCCTTTGCGAGGAAGAAAGAGATACAAACATAAAGTCATGGGAGAGCTAGTAGTGGTGCCTGGACAGAGACCAAGGTTTACAGTGGCCCCTACGCTACAAACCGCAGGAACAGGGACACAGAAATGGTGGTTTGTCCCAGGCAAAGCTTCTGCAGGATGTTAATTTGCCTGTTTATCTGAACCTCACAAGGACTCAACGCTGGCACTCAAAGGTCTCATTTGAACCTTCTGAGATTTTGTTCTTTCACTGCTCCAGTCCAAAGAAAATGAAAACGATGCCACAGGGTATGGAAGAACTTGTGATGTCCACGCTGAACTGCCACTGCGGATGATGAAGGTTCAGCTGTGGTCTGCTCCTTCTCACGTTATGCAATTTTCTCTTGGTATTTGGCAGAACTGCCCCAGAACAGATACTTTGCAGAGCTGTGCATCCTGCAATGAGGCATTGCTGAAATCCCCCAATGTATGACTCCCTTGTAGGAGTCAAAATTTTATCCAGGTTATGAGGAAAGGAAGAATTATGTTGTGGGTTTGGGGTTTTTGGGGGAGGGGTTGTTGTTTGTTTTTTTTTTTTTTTATTTGGGCTGCCTCACCTGTGACTTCAGTGGAAAATCAATACACTGAGAAAGGTCTGTAGATCTGGACCTGCTAAATAACTCACAGGTTGCAGATACAGTTCCCCCTGAGGCCACTGGTAAAACACTCACAGACCCAGGATGGACTCAGCTGGTGCCAGCAGCTTCCAGCTTACCCCATGGAACATCCACTGACAGCCTCTGCTTTCTGACTCTCAAGTTTTCCTCACCCTGTGCAGATTTTTCTTTTTGTCACGTAAATGCAGCAAAAGAATTAAAAACTTTTGATTTTGAAGTTGACATCTATGGAAGTGATGGTTTATACAGTGCAGTATATGGAAAAGCACCCTCTGCCTTCAGGGAATTACCTGATGGGCCAAATGAATTGGGTTTCCTTGAGTTTCTGAGCAGCTGTGGGTCTGACTGTCTTTTCATGGACACAAACAGAAGCGGTGCTGACTGTATGGACAGAGCAGAAAGCTGTGCCCAGGGTCACATCAGCTGCTGTGCAATCTTGTCCTCAGTCATATCAGGTGATTCCCTCTCTGCTGGATGTCCCACCCCTCATGCCAGGCAACAGTTCCACCTTGTACTCATCGAGGTGTAGTTTCAAACCCTGTGCCCAGGACACCAGTGCTCTGAGTCAGCCCTTCACCCCTCGCATTACCAGCTTCTCCAGAACGGCGACGCCCAAGTCTTGTTCTCCATTCCCCACAGAGGTGTCACATCCTTGAGGTTGTCTAAAGACCATTTGGAGTGAGGCTGTTCCTTTTAGGATGGAAAAAGAAGGAAAATACAGACCAGACTAGTTTCCCCAGTCCCCACAGAAGAGGGGAACCACCCAGAGTTACCCATGCAATGGCTCAAAAGGATGTTTTTTGGGTGCCAGCAGCTCCCAGATGCTGCTGCCGACCCCGATGCCAATGCCACTGGCTCTTGTCACAGCTGCTCAGTGCGCCAGCCCGGAGAGGCCACTGCTGATAACACTCTCCAGGTGTTCAACCCGAGAACAAAGGCCCTTTTCAGTGGCTGCTGAGAAGGAAGAAGCTTCCTTGCTGGATGGAAAATGGCTTTCCTGCATGGCAATATTTGGTTACAGTACGATCTGTTACTTCAGAAGAAGCCCCGCAGAAGGGAAGGTAATTTGACTCAGGCATGTAAAAAACCATTGTGGGGGCTCTTGTCTGCCTCCTTCCTCTCCCCAAAGAAGTGAAACAACGTTGAGCTGTGATGTTTCATCCAAGCAAAGTAAAAGTGGAGTCTGGGATCATAATGTCTTGCTATGCCCATTGACATCAGGGTGAGCTGGTTCATCATCCTGGAGAAACCAGGCTCCCTGCAGAGTCCCAGTCACTTACCTGCCTGTTTAGCACAGAAATCAGTGTCTTCTGAGCACAAAACTGAGCTGAGAAAATCTATGTGCTGGTAAGAGTACAAGCCAGGAGAGGTTTTCCCCTCAATCCGTGGACCTGACTTTCAGTGCTTTTGTTGGAACATCTTAATCAAACATTTCCACAGCAAAACTCGCACTGTTTGCACAGGGATACCCGGAAGATAATTTGGTCCTGAGGGTGAGGAGGTGGGTCTGGGTATATTTGGGTTTATTTCCCAATGAGATTAGCCTTGGTCCATGCACTCTGTGTACTCTGGCACTGAAGGGATTTCCATGAGGTGGTGTGCGACCACCGACCGCAGCCGTCTAGAGGTGGCGCATTCCCCCTTTCCCACACAACCAGCTGCCAAGGGAAGGAGCATCCCTTGTACAAGCACTGCCGTGATGTTGTCCATATATTTTCAAAACCAGTGGTCCCAGCACCAGCTGAAGGCTTTCGTGCTCTCTTACAGCCCTCCAGGGTTATAATCTCCATGAGATAATCCCAGGATGTTCCTTCACCATGTTCAGTCTGCCCCTACATTATCCCCACACCCTGTAAGCTGTTCTTCACCCAGTGGGGAGGTGGTGCCCTCTGATATGCAGGAGGTGACTTATCTGAAATTATTTTGCCCACTTCCTTCAGATAGAAGTGAGAAGGACAATCCAAGGAAACATTGAGGAGGCATTTCCCATCTCTGAAAGAAAATCAGAGTGATGCTGTGCTCGCCCCAAATGCACATGCTTAATGGAAGAGCAAGAACATGAAACTTCTTTTAAAATATCTGCCATTCTTACATAAATTATCTATACGTAAAGCTGAACATCTCCTTTTAATTAAGCAGAAGGACAGTACCTTAGACATTGCACTTTTCAATCAAGCAGTACTATTTCCTATTAAAAAATAAGCTTCCTTAATTCTTGCAGTGCACTAGCTAACATCTATACAAACAATGGGATTTGGCTGACTACAGTTAAATATATTTGATTACTTCCCTTTTATCTAGTTCTAGGTTTACTGTACTTTTCCTTGGATGGCAAATAAGAAGCTCTTTTCTTCTAAGTGACAGCAGGGAAAAGAATCAGGTTGCTAATTTACCTGAGACTCAGGAGTGTGTAATGATAGATGTGTGCTGGAAACTACAGAGTGGGCTTTCTAATTTTGGGGGGAGGAGAGAGGGAAAGCGTGAGATTCGTTAATCTTTCAAATTGATGTTGCCTTTGCTGATGGACTTTCGTGGTTGTAATTACACACACATCAGGAAACAAATGCAGTGAGGAGGAGAGCTGACAGGAAGCCGGGATCTAAGGAAATGTGCCATACAGGAAACAATTAAAATGGGAAATCACCGTTCTCCAGGCAAACAAGGATACAACATGCTCGTGGGTACTCGCGGGATCTCCTCAAAGCAAAGGTTACACTTACCTGTAGCGGTTTAAGAACACACATATGGTCCAGGAGCAGCTTGGTTAAATAATCAGAAATCCCTGTGTGGATGTTCAGACCAACAGACCTGCAGAGCTTCCAAGAGCACGTGTCACCTGGGTCCTTCCACGGAGCCTCTCCATCAAAGTCTTCTTGGAGAGATGTGAAGGAAAGGGGCAGGTGGGGAGGGAGAAGGGAGCATGGATTGCAGGCAGGCAAGAAGGGTTGCACCTATGGTTTAGGTTTTTTTCAAAATTAGTTTTCTGCCCAAGGGAAAGCAAAACCCCGGGCATGCCCACATTCCCATGATGGCCAGATAAAATGGGCTAAAGCATGAACAGCTTTGGGTGAAAAGTTATTCTCTAGATGGGAAAAGGAATCTGAGCCCAAGTTAAGTTTGCAGTGAAGATCTGCTGTCAGTCTGACTTAGGAAATGTTTATTTCCTCCTCTCCTGGAATTCCTTTGCCTTCTGGAATCCTGTGAGCAGGTCAAGTTCAAGCCAGGCTTTCCCCTGGAGAGGCACATTCACACCAGCCAGGAGAGGAGCTGTGCTGGAGAGTGAGGATGAGTCACAACATAGGTGAGTGCCAGGGACAGTTCAGGTGATCTGAAGCAAAATCATATAATTTTTTTAAAGATTTTAATATTCTAATAAATGATACCTTCTTTTTGTTCCCTAGAAGATTCAACCTACTGGTTCTTCCCCAGTTCTACTTTAACTTGTTCAGATATAAAGTTGGTTATACAGAAAAGCAGAAAGATGCCATAATTCCCTGTAGGCATGTTTGTGTGTATTCTGCATTTCCAGCAGGCTCTAAAACATCTACAGGATCACCAAGCAAGCAGATTTTGTCTGTCTTTGTTGTTTCATAGAAAAAAATCCTATCATGACTTTCAAGTAGAAAAAAAAATTAGAGAAATAATAACATGACCCAACTGCGAAAATATTTTTTTTCATGAACTATACCAATGAATTGGAAATGCAAGTAGTAAAATGAATTGCCAAAAGTATCAAATATATGCTTTCAATAACTTTTTTTTTTTTTGTTACCTAGTAAAATATTTTCCTGGAGAAGGGTTGTTAAACCCCTTGGTGCAATATAAAGGTGCAGTGATGTATTGTCTCAGAAGTGGTTTAATGGAGTTTTGGGGTTCCATTTTTTTGTACATATTTTCAACACACGCGGTGCGTGATCAATTTGGATTTATAAAATGCTCTATATTTCTTTTTAAGCAATGATCTTAACTTTTAAAGAATGCTGCTTAGTTGGGAGAGCATGTGTGTGTGTTTGCATTTTGGCAAGGCAGCAAATCACATACGATATTTATGTCATTTGAGAAAAGTATTTTGTGCGTTTGCCAAAACCAGCCCTTTCTAAGAACCTAAAGGTATTTGATCTGCCCTAAAACACAGTTTTAGAGGAGGATTAGGTGTGCAGGAGCAGTGAGCAGAGGGAAGGTCTGTCCGATCTTTGTGGTGTGAAAGGGCAAGATTTTAGACAAACAAGCCAGATCCTGTTTCAGTTCAACCTCTTTGACTCTGTTTTTGTGAAAATCAGTTTCAGACTTACCTGTGGCTTTGCTGCCAGTGAGCTGGAATTTTGCAACAAGTTTAGTGATCCACTGTGGCATCGGGTAGAAGAAGTCTGATGCCAGCTCTCCTGCCACAGCTCCTGTGAACGGTCCAGGGAGGTCAATTATTAAATGTGCAGAGCAACGATGGCAAAAGGATGGTGTCTTGTGTTACACCAGTGAATCCCCCTCGGGACTGACCCACTTCAGCCATTTAACTGGGCAAAACCAACCAGGAGCTGAGTGTTTGGAGACGGGGAAAATGTGGGGGTTGTACGATCATGATTTAGCGGTGCCCCGGTCTCTGTTCCTCCTGCTTCCTTTATCACAGAACCATGCAATATGCTGAGTTAGAAGGGACTCACAAAGATCATCGAAGTTCTACTCCTTACCGCTGATGTGACAAGGATCAGGATCTGTCCTTGGTCACCTGATATCAGCTGCTGCTGATTTGTTTCAGAAGTGAAAGCCCAGTGCCCTGCTCACACCCCAGCTGGCCGTGCAGACCACGCTGCACTGACATCTTTGTGCCAAATCCAACGATATAACCTTTCATCCACAGAATTTCTCCATTCCCCCTCCCTTCTTTTTTTGCTTTATCTCTTCCTTCTATCTTCAGCCTGTCGGGACTTTCACATACCTGCAGCTGACAGCTAAGAGATCAGGAACTTTGATGTTGTAAGGGATATTTTATCTCGGGTAATTCTCACCAATTCCTACCTTATTGTGTAGGATATCCAAGGACTCCGAGAGTGAGCAACGCCTTTGTCTGGTAAGATCAGAGCAATTTGCAAGCTTTTCTGGGAACAAGGTCCAATAAAGGGACTTTAGAGATATAATCTGTCAACCCCATTGAGCAGCACTGTGACAGCAGCCTCAGGATTATTGACAGTTTAAGCATCGCCTAGGACAGAACAAGGCTGGGGGTTCGAAGCTACTTGCAGTAAGATTGTTTGCTGAGGAAGCAGAAGAAAGCCTTTATACCCAAATTCACCAAGTTTTTATCTGATTTCTCCCTCACGCAAACAATAGACCCTGCAGGGAGCTGCTGCTTTTTGGTAGGAGTCTGGGGGGGAAAAAACCCACTCTTGGAGGTGCAACCACCTCTAATTCACAAAGTTGACCTGATTTTGGGGCTCTAATTTCAAAGGGTCACCTGGTAGAGCCAATCCTGAGCCTGCAGCCACTGGGAAGAGGGTGAACTGCCACTCCAGTGCCCCAGACTGGTGAGTTTGTCACCTGTGCTGTGTGGCTTTGGCATCACATGCAGCTGTGAGGACATGCAAAGCCTTTTCTGTTGCCAGCCCTGTGGTAAGCACCCTATGGGGCAGTGGTAGCAAGGGTTGTGATGCTCTGAGCTCTATTCCTTTAAACCTCTTCATTCCTGATGAGTCACATTGAGCTGGTAGAGGTTTTACCTTAGATCAGCCATTCATCATTTCTTCAAGCAGCTGTGGCATGGAGGTCCCTAGGAAGTGTCTGATGGGAAATGCTCAGCAGTCTGTCCTCTGTTGCCTTCACTACCCACGAGCTGGCTCACTTCAGCAGGGTTTCACTGTCATGTTTCCTCACCATATTTGATTTTTGAGGATTTTCACCATTACTCAACATATTTCTGAACCATTGTTTTCCCTTTCTGGGCAAACATTTGCTTATTTTATTTGCAAGGACTTCTTTTTCAGCAAACACCCAGGCCTTACATCTTCATGAACATACTAGCAAAGACCCCAGCTCACCTTCAGTGGCCACAGCTTGATCTCTCCCAGCAGTAATTTGGGGATAACACCTTTCTGCAGAGGCAAGGAACAGTCCTGGATCCGTCCACTCCGGTCTCTATCCTTACCCTTGTTTCCTTAGTCATCAAGCTGATGTTAATTTGCACTCCTGGTAGGTGTTGAAGCTTCCTGAGTAATTGATCTCTGCTGGTTGATGATCAGACATGTCAGTGTCTGAGTGCCAACTTGCAATCAAGCCTTGGATTGCTCCCCAAGTTCCTTTTCTCTTGCTGCTCACTCAAACCTTTCTCATCCTTCACACCACGTTCTCTTCCCTCCTCAAGGATGTTGCTGTTCATCCAGCATTTTGAAGCCAACACTTTGTGACCTTGGGGTAGAAATCCTGTGGCTCAGTGGCAGCTCCACAGAACAAGGTGTAGCCCAAACACAGATGATCCCAGCAGTGTGGTTTTGTTGGGTTTCCAACAAAATGCTGAACTCTGTACAAAAGAGGAAGCAATTTGCAGGTAACCCCTTTCCAGCCCCTCCACTACACCTCAAAATCACATGTCAAAAATGCTTTTGCTGATGGCAGAAGAGCCTCACCCAGCAGAGCTGTGCCAACAACAGCAGCAACAGGCAGTGAGGGCAGGCAGATATCCATCCCTCCAGCTGGAGCAAAGGGGCTGCCAGCAGCTGGACACCAGAGGAGAGAGTGCTGTGACTGCTGGCAGAGGCTGCTCCTGAGGTTGCACCCAGGATTGCATGGGAGCAAATTTCACCATTTCAGTGTCTCCCCCTGCCCTAGGCCAGTTTACTCCTGTAACAGGTGTCCTGGGGAAAGCAGATGGCAGGAGGCAGCAGGAAGCAGCTGTGGGTGGTATAAGAGGACAATCCTGCCAGCCCACGCTGGACATGGATCTTGTGGATCTCAGCTCCTGCCACCGAGGGCAGAGCAGTGCCGGGCCCCAGGAGTGAGGCTCTGGCCGTGCCTCCGAGCACCCGACACTCGACAGGAGGCCCTTGCAACAGCTCCAGCGCGTTTCCTCAGTAATGAATTCCGACTTGTTTTCCCAAATCTCCTCATAATGACTCAGTCTGAATCTAATGATGCAATCCTGAAGGGAATCATTAGCTCCCAGCTAGGAGGGTCGGCCACTCTCCAGCTCCAGCCCACGTGGCTGCTGACTGGGGTGTTGTGTCGTGCAGCTCTACATACCCGGCCCGGCGCGTGCCAGCTCCTGGGTGGACGTTCTTTCTAGGGATACCTCACCCCATCCATCCCATCACGGCTCATGCCAGCACTTCCCTCCCAGTCGCCAGGTTTGGGATAGAAAGGGACAGTGTGTTTTCAGTCAGGTGAGATCACAGTGGTGGTGTTACCTCCTTGCTGAGCTGGCATTTGCAGTTCAGACCCTTCCTCCCTGCAGCTCGAGGACCAGATGGAGAAGTGACTCGGGGGGAGATTTGCAGAGCAAACACCCTTTCTGCTGCCTGTCACTCATGTGGACAGAAAATCTGACCAAATCTCAGCAGAAAGAAACCAAAACAAACCAGAATTTTCCAGCCACCGCCGGCACCGTGTCTACACTGGGTGACACACAAGAGGCATCACCACGCCAGATCCAGTCCCAAATTAAAAGATCTCCCACCAACAGCCTTTCCCACAACAGTCTGAAGCAAACTGTGCATGCGCTGCTGAAATGCCACTAATTCCACTTTCCACTTCAAACTCCATGACCCTGCTAAGGCAGAAGCCTCTCAGTGACAGCTTTACTGAGGGTCACACACTGATGTCATTTGTACATTTGTTCACTGAAGTTTGATTTTTCCAGCTTGTGCTGCGATTCCAGCACAGGGTGTAAAATGATTAACTGCAGAGAGACAGTGGCGAGGCCAAGAGTAAACTCCAGGTATTGTTAGTCCCAGGATGCTATGACAACCAAAGAGTGTTGGAAAACACTCCCTGCCACTGCCACACACTTCTATTTATCAACAAAACCAGATTTACTTTGTTTTAGTCTTAGCAAGACACTGTTTCACTGGAGACCACTTAAAATGAGATTTATCTTCCTTGGAATAACTACAGACTCTTGCATTTGTAATTCATTCCCCTCCTATTTCTAATCTCATTTCTATTGAATGCATTGTTTTTCTTTCCATTATTTATAAAATGAGATCATTAAAATGAATATTGGAACTCAACAGGTTTGGGGCAGAAAGAGACTTCCCTGCAGACGCATCCCAAACAGAATTCCTTGGATTGCTGCAGAGCCTTTTCAGCTAAATAGCAGAGAAGAGCTAGTTTTATGCCACAATTCATGCCTCTGTTTTGACATTTTGGGGGGTCCCCACTCTGCTCCCAACCCAAGCAGTTACAAACCTCTTTCAAGTTCTTAAAAAGCAGCCATTTTTCATCTCAAGTGGGATGGGTGAAGCAGCTCCTGATGGAAAGAACTGGGAGGTCCTCAAGGATGCTCTGTAAGGCAGGTTGTTATATGACCCTTGGGAATACACCAGTAGGTTCTGGATGCAAAGAAGAGATCTGTGGAGAAGGGTTTTAAGGGAATTCTTTTCTTCATTAAACTTCTACACTTAAAAATATAGGAAAAAAGGAGCAAATTCTGATCTAAAAAATAAAGGAGAAGAAAGAGCAATTATCATCTAACCAGGCTTAAATCTGGAGTAAATCCACTGCAAACTACAGCTTTACTCTGGATTAGTACTGGTATAAATTAGTCTAGGAGCTGCAAATCCCAGCTCTCTCCTCATTCCCAAAAGACACAACCGTGAAGGTCTAAGCATCTACAGTTATGTATTGCATGAAATATTTCCTGGCTGGGAAAATCTCATGGGACAATGATCAGGAACAAGATGGTGCAAATAATTAGTTCAATTGAAAGTAAAGGCACACTACTAAAAATAAAGAGATGAAAGTGGCCTTCCCTTTGCCAGTTTTAATACAAGCAATATTAGTAGCAGCTGCATTTCAACCCATTTCGCAGATAACTGTGAGGGGCATTCTGGAAGCTAAACAGTTTAATTGCACAGGCTACCCTTTAATTTAGGGTGGTGAGAATGATATGAAGGACTCATTAAACTGGGGCATTAACCATGGCAGAAAATAAAGTAGTTTCTTTGTTGGAGAAGATCTCACTGCCCTCCAATCACTACAGTAAATTGTTCCTGGGAACGGCGGCGGGGCAGGATGGGGAGATAGAGACACGTTGAGATAGAGGGAAGTGAATGAAAAATAATTGGTACAGTGCTCTGCAGATTGTATGTCACTGCAGACAGTTATTTAATAACTCTCCAATTATTGCTGCCAGCTGGGGTATATTAAGACACTGCAAGAAGCCAGGCCAAAATCCCCCAGGCACGACCGC